AGCTGCAACGGCGGTTGCATGTTGTACTTCAGCAGCAACAGCAGCAGCAGCAGCAGCAGCAGCAACAGCAGCAGCAGCAGCAGCAGCAGCAATGGCAGAGGCCTTTGCTTCCTCTAGCTGCTCAGAGTATCAGCCAGATTGTGTGGGCAATGGCTGCAACGGGGGTGTTTCATGTGCTGCTGCTGCAGCAGCTTCTGCAGCAGCTGTTGCTGCAGGTGCTTCGCCTTCTCCCTGCTGCTGCTGCTGCTGCTGCTGCTGCTGCTGCCCTCACCCCCATCTGCTGTCTCGGCGTTGCATGCGTAGCCGCACTGCACAGCAGCAGCAGCAGCTTACGCAGCAGCAATGGATAACACTGCTGCACTTCCTGCTGCTGCAGTTACTGCTGGTGCTGCTGCTTCTGCTGCTGCTCGTGCTGCTGTTGAGTTTGCTTGTGCGTGTGCTGCTGCTGCTGCTGCTGCGGTGCAGATGCCTAGACAGCTGACGCTGCTCCCCAGCAACCATCTGTCTGCCCTCATATGCGGCATCTTTGACCTTGGAGTTTTGCTGCCTTGGCAGCAGCAGCAGCAGCAGCAGCAACAGCAGCAGCAGCAGCAGGAGCAGCGAGAGGGTCAGCAGCAGCTGCTGCTGCAGCCGCAGATGCGCAGGCAGCTGCATCGTGCGCTGCTGCGAGCACTCAGCAGCAGCAGCTCACAGCAGCATCGGCCTGCAGCAGAACCTCTTGCTGCTGCTGAAGGCAGCAACGGGTGCCAGGAGGCAGCAGAGCAGCAGCAGCAGCAGCAGACCCAGGAGCAGCAGCAGATGCAGCAGCAACAGCTGAGTCTGTTCCAGCTGGCTTGCTGCCTACGAGTGGCCGCTGCTGCTGCGCTGCAGTGTGCTGCTGCTGCACTGCAGCAGCAATCTGCTGCTGCTGCTGAAGAGCGCAGGGAGGAGGCGATCCTGGCCCTCGAGGTAAGCACCACAATATCCCCGGATTGCTGCGAAGCTGCTGCTGTTGCTGCTGCTGCTGCCTATGCTGCAGCTGCTGCACCTGCTGCAGCTATTGGTTCTGCTGCTGCAGCTGCTGCTACTGCTGCTGCTGCTGCTGCTGCTGCTGCGTGTGTCTCAGGGCCTCGAGGTTGTGGGGGGTCTCCTCCGTTCCACCGACTTCACCCCGCTCGTGCGGCAGCGCCAACAGCAGCAGAAACAGCTGCAGCAGCAGCAGCAGCAGCAGCAGCAGCGGCAGCAACAGCCTGAACCAGCCCTGCGTGTCGTGACCAATGGTCTCCCCCAGGCAAGGAATGCTCTTACCCTTTCGCCCTTTCACATGCTGCTGCTGCTGCACCTGCTGCTGCACGTTCAGCTGCTGCTACCCTTGCTGCTGCTGCTGCACTTTCTACTGCTGCTGCACTTGCTGTTGCTGCAGTTGCTGCTGCTGTTGCTGTTGCAGCTGTATCAGGCTGCATTAGCTGCTGCGGTCCTTCGCGCGTGGAGTCCCCGCGTGCGGCGGCTCCTCGAGGCAGAGGAGACAGCTGCTGCAGCTGCAGCAGCAGCAGCAGCAGCAGCAGCACCGGCAGCACCAGCAGCAAGTGCAGCAGCAGCAGCAGCTGCTGCTGCTGCTGCTGTTGCTGCTGGTGATGTGGGTGTCTCCTTTGAGGTGTGGACTGCTGCACGAGAAGCCTACGAAGCTGTCTCCTCCTCTACAACCGAATCGCGCGTTCAGGTGGGAGCTGCTGCTGCTGCTGCTGCTGCTGCTGCTGCTGCTGCTGTTGCTGCTGCTGCTTGCTTCGCTGCTGCTTACCCTGCTTGTTTCGTTG